GAAAAATGCAGTATTTGAAAGTGACGCCCGAATTGCAGCATGGCGCCAGTTGTCCAAAATCCTACGGTACCAAAGGAGGGGTTTGGAAAAAGGGTGCCAGGCCGAAAACGGGATGCAGCCGAAACAGCAAAAGATAGACCAGGGATCGAGCCCTGGCGAAGTCCGTAACATTGACCCTGGAACTCAAATTTGGGATCTGCAACATGAAAATGCCTTTCACTGTTGAGTAACAAGGGGCAAAGTCTCCAAGTATAAGGAATGCATTTCAAAAAGCAATGCTGATTTCTAAATGCCTAGCTCATAATCTAGTACAGGAGCAGCTGATGCGCATGTCAGGGAGCCAATTTGTGAAGTACATTTGACTGCGGTTTATGAGAGTAGCATAGTTGGCCGTTGGTCTACAGGTTACAAGCAGTGTACCGTAATGCGAATAATGATGAATTATTATGTCCAGTGATAAATTGATAATTGTTTTTGTTTTTGTTTTCTCATTCATCTGGGTAGTGCAGGAATGCCTGGTGGATGGTGATCGCAGTTCACTGTACTATGTGGCAAGAGCCTTGGCGAAGCTACAGGTTTGGTTAACCCTCCCTGCCCCCCCTCTTTGCCCATCTTCCTCTCTCGCCTCCAGTTCCAGGATGGTAATCCTCCTCCTCCATCCACCATGTCTGAAAGTCAACCAAAATTATACATACCATGCCTGAAAAGTTCCAGTGGTATTTGCAGGCAACAACGTATTTAATTTATCCTGCCAATGGCTGCGGTTTCAACGTTATTGTGCTGAAATCCCTCAGAACTTTCAAAAGACACGGCTTTTCCATTCTTTTAGCTTGCTCCATTCACCATGCCATCGGCATTGTGGGCATGGTGATCTTTGCTGCAAATCGAACTTCAGGTTGTTTTAATTCTGTTGTACCGGCTGGTTTGGGGGCAATCCTTTTCAATTCTACCTGCACAGTTTTGCTCACACGATCAAATAGCTCGAAAATCCTTTCCAACCCTGTGGGTTTTTGGGGTGTTTGCTCAAACGGATCTGACTTCT